CAGCAGCTGCCCAGACGGGTGCTGGCAGAGAGGACGTGCCCTCCCCTTCCCCAGCACCAGTGCCTAACTGGGAGGATGATGGGAAATGCTAAGCAGTAGCCAAAGAATGGAAAATTTGACAATCACAACAGTCTCAGAAGCCACCAGTACCGAGGCTGTTCCCAGCATCTCGTTAGTGGAGCTGACAACGAGGCACATGAAGCTCGGTCAACACCAGGCAGCGTGTGCCGGGCGGTGTTAGCTTCTCCCTGTTTCTCTTGCCACCTTACAGGGTGTGATGTTTTCTTTCCTTGCTCTCCAAGGAGCTGCCTTGGATGTTTAGGCTGAGCAGCTGCAAGGGGCTCCTTCTGCAGCGCGTGTTGAGACTGAAGTCCCCTTAAAGCAGGTGTGAGAGGTGCAGGCTGCGGAGCTGGCCCCCAAAGGAGCAACGAGTGTTGCATCAGGCTCTTCTAGAGTTAGATCCACGTGTGATTTTTCTTATGATTATCATTTGTTTCAGGGATTTGCACGGAGTCTCCAGCCCTCTTCTGGCTGGTCCCATAAAGCACAGCAGGGTGAGATTGCAGAAATACAGAGATACCACAGCCTGTTGCACCAAGGTTTAACTCAAAAGGGTTGTATCAGTAAACAGGTTTTTTTTCTCTCCAGCCCAAAGCCTGGATGAGTGTTCGCACCGTTCAGCCCCGGCACTGAGACGGCCGGCCTCTGGATGCTGCTTGTATACAGCAGCGTTGGAGAGAGATCCCAAGCAGAGCAACCAGGAGCAGGGAGCTAAAGCAGAGTTTTTGGTCTGGGGGAAAGGGAATCGGGGTGAGCGGGCAAAGCAATGTACCAAAACCCTTCCTGGGGTAACACGTTCCCGAGGCAGTGTGGTTGGAGCAGAGGGTTGACTCCCGATTGCAAGGGGGAGTTTTAGGAATTCCCTGGAGAATCTGAAATGGCTGCGGAGGAGGTATAAATACTGCCAAGCAGCAGATAAGCAAGTCTGGAGAAGCCTCACACAGAGGTGTGTGCTGGGGAAATCACAGCCCCTGATTTGGTCTGGTGGGAGAAGGCTTCGGGAGACCCGTCTGGATTTGGGGTAACCCAGCCTCACCCTCTGGGAAGGAGCTGAGCCTGCCTGGAGCACACAGCCAGCGGGCAATGCCCGAGAGGCTCTGCTTGCACCTGGGCTATTGTCTCATGGTATGGGTTTTTTCCTGTAAAACTATTGTCCTAAAACAAAGAGCATGGGGTTTTAGGAAAGGCAAGGAGTCACTCTGGCTCCAGAGATGGAGGAAAAGGCCTGAGTCCTTGGGCTGGAGGAGGGAGTCGTGGTGGTCTCCTCAGACAGGCAACAGCTGGTGGCTGGATAAGGATGTTCAAAGGAAGAAAAAGTGAGGAAATTTGCAATGGCACCGTTTGCAGCCTCACTGCTGTGCCCAGCCTGTCTGGTGGTTAGATCCCACCACTAAAAATACATCATTTCTTAGTTTAATCTTAAATTATTCCTTAAGGCTGCAGGTCTGGAGGCCCCTGAGCTACTCCCAAGAGAGTTAGCCAAGGATGATTCCAAGAGGAGCCTGGCTCTGGCTGCATCCCTGTGCCTGTGGCCATTAGGTACCAAAGCAGCTTTGCACATGCGAGTCCACTGGCCACATGTGGCTGTGGACTAGGAGCACTGGGCTGGCTCATTTGCATTGATGTATTTAAGGACTGTGGGTTGATTTGTGATCACAGGCCTCCAGTAGGTATATATTGCTGAGGTTCAGTGGATGCTATAGATATGTGTGTGAGTACATATATGGGTGAATATTAATAGGATACAGGACTCAATAATATCTGAGGACGTATATAGCAATATAAGGCAGGCATGGGCACAGCCAGGTCTGTGTGCTGATGTTCCTGGCTGGCAGAACAAGGCAGATATGGGACAATACATACCAGTGTGTGAAGAGTATGCCTGGGCTCGACTGAGTTCATCATGGGATGGACGCCTCTTTCCTACAACAGCTCACAGTAAAACCTGAGCAGGTGTCAGATACAGGAACATCACGAGGTGGGTGAAGTGCAGACCCAGGCAGTGCGACAAGGAGAAAATCGATGTATGTTGTGTAGAGGCAAGCACTGTGTTCAGGTGCTGAAGGTCCAGGCTGTGAGTTTGGAGACCTCTAGAGCCTAATGGAAATAATCACTGGTCCAGAAACGCACCCCGTGTAGCACAGGGGAGCCTTGCATGAAAACTCCTGTGGGAAGTGCGGTGCTGAGCTCCTCGCTGAGTGTTTCTGCCACTTTGTGAGCAGCAGGAAAAAGATTTTGGGATGAACAACCAAGAGCAGGACATGGATAATAACAGCTTAAGGAAAAGTGCAAACTCTGATGGTTGTATGACCAAATGGTTGGCAAATGCATAGGCAGGTCTGCTAATGCAACCCCTGCGGTTAACCAAGCCATCAGTTTATCATCTCCTTTCCTACACTAGACTCCATCCAACTCAGACTGTGTGTCTATTCTGTATCCTAGTGGCACATACTCAGTGTGTTTGGGTTTTTTTTCCATCCATCACCGAAGAGAGGGAAAAGTTATGGCATTAGGAGCTAACCACCTAGTGCTGCTTCCCACATCTGAGATTTTAAACATGTTTCCAGTCCCTGCCTCCTTGCTAAACAGACAGATGCTACCACAGCTTCTAAGCAATGGCACAACAGGCAGAAAGCAAATAAAGGCACAGCTGCAAAACCAGTCAGTATTTGGGCACCACTTACTGGTGAAACACATGCTTTTGCATCTTTCTCCAGCAACGTTTCTTGCACTCACTGAAACACCAACAGGAAGCAAAGCCTTGAATTTTGGGAAGCACTGAGTATCTCAGAAGTTGCTGTCCCCAAAACTATATTCCTCCTCCTTCCTCAAGTGCTTTCCCATCTCTCCAAACTTGCCTTCACTGGCTTTTATTCCTCTCCCACAGGGCAGCCCTGTGGTTCCCAGCGCTGCTTGGCCTGACGCAGCTTTTCGCAGCAGGGGAGCAAATTCCATGCCTGTTGCTGGTGGTGGCATCAGCAGAGGCTGCGGTGGGAGCTGGAACGAGACTCAGCATGGCCAGGACATCACCCTGCCAGGACAGGCTGTGTGCACAGGTTTGTGGCAAGCACCTGCTTTTACTAGACAGAATAAAAGGCTACAGCGGCTTCTCTGGAGGTTGTGGCTCGCATCGGTTTCTTCACCGTGTGGGTGAGACGCAGCCCCTGGGCACAGAACAGAGCCAGTATTTGTCCCATCATGGCTTGCTGGGCAAGGTCCCACTGCGCCCCGACCTGCCCTGCGGTGCCCAAACCTTCACCTGTCCACTCATTTCATTAGCATAATTATGATAAACTTGGCACAATTATTTAGCTTGCAGCTCACTCCTTTCCTACATGCAGGACTGCAATGCTGTCTGGTTTTACTCACTGCCATGGTGGGTATCTCAAAAGCAGCCCCTTCTCCCCACAGTCCCTTGCCTGGATTGCAGAAGAAACAAGCTGGGATGATTTGGGGGGTGCAAACACAGCTTTGGGTTCAGGCTATAAGTAGGGGAGACATGTGGCTGGACAGATTGGAGAGGCCAATGTCCAGCACCCTACGGCAGCCCAAGGAGGGATGGGTGGGATGTCCCTGGCCCTGCCACCATCATCTCGGCACCTCTCCCACTGGCTCACGGCTCCCTTGCACGTCCCGATGCTGCCATCTGTAGCACAGAGCTTCGCTCCCGTGCTCCCTGGAATGGTGCCTGGAAAACTGGGAGCTGAGCAGGGAGAGCTCAGCTTCACAAGGTTGGGTTTTGTAGGAGTCTGAACGGGCAAATCCCAGCCTGGGACTTGGCTTTTTCAGCCCTGAGAGAGGCTGTTGGCTTCTACGTCCGCTGCATCGCATTTTTAATTGTCTGCCAAGGGCACCAGAGCCTGGGATAGTAGCTCTCATTCTGCTTATCTGCTGGAAATAAAATAAACACATTAAATAACATCAGCACTGTGGCCCATACAGTAAGGAGGTTTTAACCGTGAAAGCCATGGATTCCTGTAGGACCAGCCGGGGAGCATCACAGCCTCCCGTGCATGCAGGGATGGGGCCAGCATCTGTTTTTAATGCATTTACGCTGTGAAGAAGAGGGGGATGTGCAGCCATCCCTGCCTTCCCCGGCTCGGCTTCACCCAGCTGTATGTTAGCACATGCTGACTGTCCGTATGAAAACCCCCATCACTGAAATTCATTTCATCACTGCTCATTTCTTGGTGCCTTTCCATGACAGGAAATATCGGACAAAGGCTCGCTCGCCCTGTTCCCAAATCCCCATATTGTCCCTGGCAGGGAAGGGAAACACGGAGCCGGGGCGTGCTGAGCTCAGCACAGCAGCATCCCCAGCCCCGCCAGCCTTGGGGCACCACGAGGTAGAAAAGCAGCTGTGATAGGGTTGGCATCAGCTTGTATCAGGGCAGGCTCTGACCCACAAAGAGTGAACAAAAAAGTAAACAGAGAAAAAGAAATCTCTGATGGTCAAGGTGAAGCTGAATCTCTGTAGGAGCCACCATTTCTCCTCTGCCACCTCCCTTCTCTCTGGACGTTGCGGTGGATGGGACACCCGCTATCTCCCCCACCTTTGTGACTCCCCATCCTTCCTTCATGCATTAAGCACATCTGTCCCCCGCCGATCACAGCCTGAATGCCCGTCTACCCCATCATTGCCGCACACTGGCTCCATCACGTCAGAGCTCCGGATTGCCTGGCCGACGCTGCCTTTGTGCGGGCAGCAGCGGGGCTGGATTAGCCCTGCACGCATGAGTGGGCTGACCCCGCCGGCCGGGCAGTGGGATTTGCTGCTCCCCATTTCCCAGCCATGTCTGACAGCCTGCTCTGAAAAGGAGACCTCAGCCTGCCGTTGATGTTAATCCCTGCGCATGTGGGCTCCTGGCCGGTGGCCCCTATATAGACGCCTCTGGTCGCGCACCCGGGGTGGGTCTGCGGCGCAGGGGCAGGCGAGCAGGATGGCACTGCGGGTAAGTGCTTCGGACAGGGTCAGGCACAGCCTGGTCTGCCTGAGGGGTGATGGTGCGTGGAAAAAGGAAAGCGGCACAGATAAGGGCAAGAAAGGTAGAAATCCTGAAAGACTTGGGGATGCTATTTGTGGTGCTGCCTCTCTGTTTCAGTCCGGTCCAGGCTATCGCAAAACTGTGCACTTCATGGCTTTTGATGAAGGGCAATAGCACAGATTTTTCATCTCGGTTCTACCAGGGCTGGTCTGGGGTAATGCTGCCCTAATGGCAGCACTTCTGGCTTGAAGGGTTTAAGCTGAGACCAAAATACAACAGATGCTTTAGCAGAGGAGATGTGTGCTTTACCATCCATCTCCACCGGGACAGCCGGCAGCAAAGAGGGAACTGCTGTTTCCTGTGTATGTGGTGTGTCTTTTGCTGGGGTCGTCATAATGACGACAAGCTAAGGGTCAAGGAAAGGTGAACCTCAGTGCTGCCATCACCACTCACTATTTGAAAATGGAAAGTCAGCTCCATCAGCTCTCTGTGTTTCCCAGGGGCGAACGCTGGCGTGGTCAGAGCCTTTGAATGACCATGCACGGGTTCCCAAAGCTGCCCTCCAAAAGTAGCTGGGCGTGAGGTTGGCCATCGTCATGTCTCAGCTCCTGCCCAAATGTGTGCATAACCCAGAAATGCTTTGGAAATGGGAAATCACGGCAGAGAAAGAAACGGGAATGAAAGTCCTGAGCTGTGGGGAGGAAGAGGCAGGCATGCAGCTGGCAGTGGAGATGCCAAGGCTGGAGAGATTTTCCCAGTGTGAGCGTTAAGTTTGGGAGAGTGGGATGCTCAGAAATGCAAGATCATTACAGTGCTAAAAAAAGTGGGGTGAAATGGCAAGCACTTCTTGTTAAAATGAGTTATTTAATAAAACTATGAATTATTCAAAAAGTAACATTTTCCAGCTGATTTCATACAAGTCAAGTTTAACCTTGGAGATGGGGGAGCAAGTGAAATGGGGGATCAGCCAGGACCTCATGGGAAGAGTCAACCATGTAACGCTGGATGAGGGTGGGCTGGATGCCACATTACACCCATTCCTTGATGAGTCCTTGTCTTTCACACCCTGCTTCAATGCATCACAAGGTTTTCTGCTTCAGATTTTTTATTGTCCAGGCAGGGAGAGGAACAGACCGTCCCTGTGTCCTGCCAACAATGAGGGCATTTGGGTTCTTCTTTAATTTTTGCTCCCTGATCCCACCCAGCTCTTTAAGCAAGACTTCGGGGACAGCAAATCCCACTTTATCAACTGGATGTTGTAGCAATTTCATTTCTTATCAATCTAGAACTTCTGAGATTATTTAGGAGTGAGAAAAATGCAGGGACAGAGAGTGTGCCTGCGTGGGAAGGTGGGAGAAAGGAGAAGATGATGGGAGGGAGAGAAAGATGGTGCAGTGTAAGGAATAAGCAGGACTGTGCACCTCCCCCACCTTGCCATACTTCGCTGTCACCTCCTCGTTGGCAGTTTGAGGCCATGTACCCAGAGGGGATGTGTCCTGGCTGGAAGAGACCAGTTCCAGCACAAGCACGTAAGGACTCTCTCTGCTCGCAGCTCTCCTGGCTCGCGAGAGCCAGCAGCATCGCTCCACAGCTCTCCGTCACTTCTTTCTCTCACTGTCTTAGGTTTGAAATTAATTTGCTCTGTGATCCTGGAGACCAAATCGCTCTCCACTTTAACCCTCGCTTCTCCAGCTCCAAAATCGTCTGCAACTCCTTCCTTGCCAGCCACTGGGGGAAGGAAGAGGTCAATAACACCTTCCCCTTTGAAGCAAAGGAGCCGTTCCAGGTAAACCTGGGTCACCCCACGGGTCTCCCTGGGTGGGACAGAAGTGACCCAGCCGATATGGGGTCCTCCTCATGGATCTAGCCCTGCCTTTCCTGCCAGCACCATACCCAGTAACAGCCCCTCTCTGGGTCTGTCTCCTGTTAGTATTTCTGTTGTACCCTGATTTGCTGCTGATTTACCCCCAAACTCTGGCACAGACGTAATCCTCGGATGTTGCATTTCCTTTCAATTTAGGCTTTGCATTATCATCAGTTTCTTCTGTCATGAAGTGACTGAATGATAGAAGGTATGATAGAAGAATGATAGAATGAGTAACTGAAGAACTCAGCTATTCCCTCCTTTTGCCCAAAATGGGGGTGAGCAGTGTGTCTGCCAGCTCTGGCAGGATTTGCAGTGGGTTGTAGATGCATGTGCCCAAATCTGGGCACTCACTGACATGACGGCAGCAAGGTCCAGTGAGGACACGTAGCCACATGGTGAGCCTAACACCTAAGTCTCTCTTTCAGGTTGAAATCTACTCTGACCGGGACTATTTCCACATTTTCATCGATGAAAACAAAATCTTGCAGTACAAGCATCGGCAGAAGCAGCTTTCATCCATCACCAAACTGCAGATTCTCAATGATATTGCCATTTCTTCAGTGGAAATCACCAAACGAGACCTTTACTAGAGACCACTCCAGTCTCTGAGACCATTCCCCCTTGTGCTCCTGATCCAGCCAGGGACCAGCTCCTCCCCTTCTCCACCTAACACGTGCCATCACTGGCTAGGGAAGATAGCTACACGTGTGTCCTCATAGTGGAAGTGATGGTCATTCCCATCGCACACCACTAAGACAGCACCCAGCCACGTCGCTAACCGTAGCCCAGATCATCAAAGACCTTCTGCCCCTATGCCTCAGGGTGCACAACGGGCTTTGTAGGTCTTACCACCTTTACTGTTGGACAGCCTGACAGATCACTACAGCATGTAGAAGCCTGCCTCGAGTAGTCTGGACACCTGAATATTACCCTAGAAATTGTGTTTGCCCAAGAGTAGGGTGTGAATTAGCACTAGTCCTCAGCTGGCCGTATGCTGAAGGATGTAATGGGTGTGGATGTCAGGAATGGAAAGGGACATTTCTTTCCACGAGCTGGGTAAAAATGTTACCATGTTTGCCAATAAAATCAAACAAGGAAATCCCTGCTGAGACGTCCCTCACTGGGCAGATCAATCAAGTTATTAATTCCCTGCAAATCTCCAGGAAACTGGCATGAACAAAGGTTGGCGACTGGGCAGGAGCACACAGGCTGAGGGTTGCTTGGTTTTGGTATTGGGAGAATACTGCCTTCTTGCTTTGAGGGCTAACATAAAATGAAAGTCCCTTGTAGGCAGAACAAGGTGATAAGATTCAACTTGCAAGATCTTTCCAGAGATTCCTTTCACCAACTGAGAGATGTTTGCTCAGCTTGAGTCCTGCCAACTCCAGGCTTCTTAGACAGATCCTAAGAGTGATGTAGTGGGTCAGAAAAGGGTAAAAGCTTAAAGAAACACATAAAAGCACGTGATCCCTTTATCATGCACCAGAAATGCAGCTGGACTCCAAACAAAAGGATCTGAGTAAATCAGGGTCTAGAAATTATGATAAGTTTGGAATGAACAAAGTGCCATTATTCCTATGGATAGCCTCTGGCTTTTCTCTTTGCTCTGCTTTCTTGTTTTCTTTTCTCCTCCTTTTTAGTTGTATTTCAAAATAGTCCACTTGTCCTTTGCACCCTCTTCTCTTTTCCACCCTCTCCCTTGGAGCGCAACATATCTCCGACCCCTTAACCGGGCCACAGCAGGCTAAAAGATGTTATTCTTGTTTTGTTTTTAAATTATGCGCATCATAACCATAATGTCTTAGTGTTAAATCTGAACAGGAACTCATTCCAAAAATGCAATTACAGCTGTCCCCAAATCACTCCTTTGTTTCTTAGATATAAGACAGACCATACTGCTGATGCAAAAGGCAAAGACGATGCCACCTTGCCAGTCCTTTCTGTCAAGGAGAAATCACTTGGTAAGAGGTCAACCCTGATCCATCCTTGCCTTTGGGTGAGATGTCTGAAGGTCACAGCTTTGCTCTAGCCTTTTCTCAATGCTCAAGTTGGCCATTCCTAACTCTTACCTCTATTTTGGTTTCAAGGACTTATAAGGAAGAGGTGACTGTGCAGCCAACCACAACACATGATGCCACAAAGTTGATATTTATGAGTCTGCTAAAAAGTTTATAATTTTTTTCCAGACTGTAAAGAACACTAACTAGAAACTATCCTGTTCTCATGGCAAAGAGCACAATGGGAACACAAAAAGGTCCCAAACAGTACCTCCTCACTCCAAAAAGAACAGAAAATATGGTTTGGAAATGGCCACTGTCTTGGTTGCAAGTCAGGAAGGTTGGAGATGGTGAGACCTCCTCTAGCCTGGAATAAATCCGTCACCGCCAGGACAAGAGGGTTGGCTCAGATTCTCATTGTCATGATGTAACTCAACAAACTTTACTCCTGCAGCCATCCCTTCAGTAAAACAGGCACAAACACAGACAAATCAAGCCTGCTGGGATCGCTGTGTCATACATCCGAAAATGCCGAACTGCATTTGAAAGAAATTATTATTTTTATTTGTGCTTTTTTGGGGTTTGATAGAGACAGGTCATTTTTCATGGAGGAAAAGCGATGAAATGATTTATAAGGGTAATACTTTGTACTTATATGGCCACAAACTCCATCTACAGCCACTGCTGCAGAAACGCACCACAATTTCATTGTTCTCCAGATGCGAGGACAAAGGACCACAGACAAACAAGGCAAAAAAATACTTCAAGTACAAATAAATAAAGAGATGCCACAAAAAATCAGGCAGCGACAGAGATTATGCCCTGACTCCTGAACACGTTCCCCCCAGCTTCTTGCCAGCGGCTGATCTCACTCCATTACCATCAGCACCAAGAGAGCCCAATCGCTCCTGACATATCCACAGCACTGCTGCTGGCTTCAGGCTTTTATCTGCTGCCTCCTCCAGCCAAAATACTCCCAAGGGTAAAGGGGTCTTCAGAGCAAGAGAAGTCTGGGGAGCTACAGAGCATCTCTGGGAGGAAAACTTCAGGGCTGGCTGTTTATAGCTGTTTTGCAATTTTATGGGGAATGAGAGATGCCCTCCAAGTCTCTAACCCTCATCTGCCCCTTAAGGAGAAACTCCAGAGGAAAATGAAGCCCCACAATTATGATGGTCAATTAAACTCTCAGGAGGGGGGTTGGCACATCAGACTTGCACAGAGGCATTGCATGCTGCTATTGAGGTGATCAAAGGGAACGAATCAATCCTTCACCCAAATTTTAACCAGCCTTCCTATTTGTGACCTGGGGTTTGAAACTGGGGAGGGAACTGATGGAAACAAGCTCCTGCCCAGGGGTATTTTTTGAAGAGCTGGAGGCCTTTTGAAGGGGAAGGAGCAGAGGCAGCTGGGTGAGCAGCTCTGGAAGGGACCAGCATTTCACTGCCCAACCTGAAGGCCAGGCTCAATATTTTTGCTGTGGCCAAGTGCAGCACAAGAGCCAGGCTGAAATGCTTCCAGAGAGAGTAATTACTGCGGGATGGGATCCACACTGTCCTAGGCAGCATCTGCTTATAAAGCAGCAGCTGCTGCCCTTGAAGCTTACATGAACTGGGGAGGGACACCTCAGAGAGATGCACCTCAGAAGGAAAAGCCCACAGAGGTGGTGACCTCCCATGTGGGCTCTCCCTTCCCCACTGTTTCTCTTCATTTGGGCTGGATCTGCAGAGCTCAGTGAAATGCTCTGGCTTGTCCCCAGATCAATGAGGGGAAAATCAGGCTCGTAATCCTTCGTGCTTGAGCTGTGCCCAGACTCCCAGGGCCAAGGTCCCCTCTGGCAGTGTCGGAGTGCTGCAGATCTCCTGCGGAGCATCTGCCCATGCACCATCAGAGAGAGCTCCGTGGTGTTGCTGACACTGTTGGCAATCATCGCATACCCCAGCAGCAAACCTCGGCAATTTCCTCACAGGCTGGTGAGCAAATGGCTCTCACGTCAGCGGCAGTCACCTCTCATCAGCAGAGTAGCAGCCTGGAGACATCAGGCTGAGTGACGCTGTCTCTGCCAGCCTTAGCAAGGGACAGTTGAATATCAGATACTGGGTCCTTCCTTCAGATTGGAAAGGCAGTGTGAAAAAGGGGAAGGACTTGTTGCCAATGCAGCAGGAAAGACTTCTAGGAAAGCAAAAAGAAGGAGAAAGTCATGCAGGTTGCATCTGCCTCATACTCACTTTCTGACTCGATGCCTTTTTTTTTAAACATGACCTCTACAAAAAAAAAAAAAAACCAAACACAAACAAACCCACCAAACTTTGATGCTGGAGATTTAGCTACTTACTCATAGCGAGAGGGCAGCCCTGGTGAAGAAAGGCAGGAGGAGGGCAGCTGTTAACCATTTAACTAAGAATTCCCTTTATCCTCCCATTTCAATGCCCCCATGAGCATCTCCTGATGGCCAACAGCTGGGCTGTACCAGAGATCTTTGCCTCTCCAGTGATATTAAGCAGCTGTGTTGTAGCTCAGTGATCCTGGACCCATGTCTATGGCAACTCTAATTTCCCACATCTCCCAAGGCCTCCATTTTCCCAACACATTGCCACAGAAATAGCTGCTAGAATTTTAGACCTTATCAGCAAAGACTTTCTTCCTTACATTTCTGAGCCCTTAGCTAAGAGGCTGCTTATTCAACAATGTGGGCTGTCAAACTCCTTAAATGCTCAGGAGCCACAGGTGTTTGCTAGCAGGACTGAGGAACGTGAAGGGCAAATGTTCAGCCCTTTTCTGAAGAGTACAAGGGAAAAAACAAGAGGAAAGGAGGAGTAACTCACAGTTCTGGCTGGGCAGAGGTATTTCTGAGGCACCAGACAGCCCCAGATTGCAGCTAGAAAGGATTCTCTGCTGAAAAGCAGAGTGATGTTTCTTTTATTGCATTTAAGGAGAGCTTTATAAATCCATTTTAACTCTCAGCATCTCCATCCAGTGCCAGCTCAGACAGGAAAGTACACCTCCCAGCCCTGACCTTCCATGCATGGTGGCAGGTACCAGCTGCAGACATTAAATGCAGGCTGGAGGGGAATTATTTTCTGAAAGAAAGGATCTGCTCTAGAGGTTGAAGAATTGGAAGCTGATGGTATCACTTTATTCGGCAGCTGCATTATTGTATATCGCTGTTGCCTAAAAAAAGGGTGACAAATTAGACTGATGCCCAAATTTGCTGGCCCTCCAGTTTTGCAGTCTGTTCAAGACCCTCTTGCCAAAAGTAGACGCAACCTATGATGTTATTCCTTCAAGCTATATGAACATAGCTAGCCAAACCTCTGACTTTACCAGAGCACAAGGCAGGAGATCAGGATGCTTTCTCTGCACCATCACACCATTGTAAGGCTGTCTGGGTCTTATAAAGCACTTTAAAACCACAGGGATCCAAGTAAACTATAAAGAGAAGGAAATATCATAACACCCTTGTGCAGGTGAGGAAACCAAGGCATGTCCAGGAAAGAAGCAGAGCAGAGAAGGGAGGAGGGAACCGGGTGCTTTTGTCTCCAGCCCAGTGCTCTCACCCTGCAGCCCGTGGGTAGGTTTGACTGGGACTTTTCACG